TCTGACGCGGCGGGTGCCGGAGCCGCTGCCGACGATGACGCAGCGCCAGGTCTTTTTCTACGGCGACTGGGCCGACTCGCTGCCGCGCTGCCGCAGCTCCGAGGACATCCTCGAGTGCTTTGTGCCGCTGCTCAAGGTGCTCGGCGTCCACCTGTGGCGCGACGCGGGCCTGCTGCAGAAGCTGTGCCGGCTGACCAAGGTGGGCCTCAAGCTGGCCAACCAGGCCGGCGACGAGCCCAAGCGCGACGCCTGGCTCGACGTTCTGCGCTACCACCTCCTCCCCGCGCTGTCGCTCTCGCCGTCGAACCTGGGCCTGGTGGGCGAGGTGTGGATGGTGGTGCGCACACTGCCGTACCAGGACCGCTTCGGCCTCTACGGACAGTGGAAAAACGACCTCTACCGCATCCCCGAGCTGCGCGCCGTCCAGGCCGAGACGGAAAAGGAGGCAAAGGGCATCCTGAAGCGCATCAGCAAGGACAACGTCAAGCTGTCCGGCCGCAACCTGGCCAAGGCGTCGCACTCGAACCCCACCGTCTTCTTCACCGTCGCCCTCAACCAGGTCCAGGCCTATGACAACCTCATCAGCCCGCTCGTCGAGTCGGCCAAGTACCTCTCGCACTGGGAGTACGACATCTTCTCCTACAACCTGGTCGACGCCCTGAGCAACCCGGAAAAGGAGCGCACCAAGCAGGACGGCACCAACATCAGCCTGTGGCTCAAGAGCCTGGCGTCGTTTTGCGGCACCCTGTACAAGCGGTACGCCATGATGGACTGCACGCCCGTGCTCCAGTACCTCGTCAACCAGCTCAAGGCCAACAACTCAAAGGACCTCGTCATCGTCACGGAGCTCATCAAAAAGATGTCGGGCATCGAGCCGCTGGCCAACCTCGACGACGCCCAGGTGGCCGCCCTCACCGGCGGGCCCCACCTGCGCATGGAGGCCATGATGTCGGCGCAGGCCGCCAGCGGAAGCAAGGAGCGCCTCTACCTCCGGCGCTGCGGCATGCGCCTCATGTCGACGCTCACCGGCAGCCGGCTGGCGGTGCCGCTGCTGATCCTCATTGCGCAGCAGCGCCAGGCGGGCATCCACCTCGTGCCCGAGAGCGAGGCCCACCTCAAGTACCTCGGTAATCTGTACGACTCGAGCCAGGAGGTGCTGCTCCAGTTTGTCGAGTTCCTCAACGACCAGCTCGAGCCGTCAGAGTACACCGCGTTGGTCCCTCCGCTGCGCTCCCTCTGCCGCCGATTTGGCATCGAGCCCGCCATGGGCTTCCACATCTCGCGCCCGGCTCTCAACCACAGCATCAAGCTCGTCGACGCAGCCGAGGCGGAAAAGCGCCTGCGCGCCGAGCTGACGGCCAGCAAGAACAAGGCGGCAGCCGCCAAGGCCTCGACGCCGGAACAGGCGGCCGCCCCACCCAAGGCCGAGGATGGGATTGAGGGGTCCGTGGACGCCGCAGGCGACGCAACGACCGGCGCCGAAAAGGAGCCGCAGCAGCCGGCTAGCGACGACGTGGTCATGGAAGACGCAGGCAAGGTCGATGGCGGTGCTGCCAACGCTGACGCTACCAACCCGGGACCCACGTCAACGGCAGGCATCGAGGACGCGAGCGAGAGCGTCAAGGGGCCCTGGCATCCCGGCCTGGCCGACGCGATCGAGACGGCCAAGGAGATGCTGCCGGAAGAGGCCCAGAGCGGCCTCGGCGTCCACTTCTACGTCACCTTCTGGCAGCTTAGCCCGTCGAGCATCAGCGTGCCGACGGAGCGCTACCACCAGGAGACGATGCGGCTCAACCAGCTGGCGCGGCAGGCTCCCGAGGATCAGCGCAAGCGCCTCGCCGACACTGTGGCGCAGCTCAATGCAGAGCTCAAGGAGCAGATGAAGGCGCACGAGGTGACGCGCAAGCGGCTGGTGGCGGAAAAGGACCACTGGTTCTCGGACCGCGCCGAGCGCGGCAGCGTCGCCGCGCAGATGATCCAGCACTGCCTCTTCCCGCGCGCCCTCCTCTCGGCCACAGACGCCATCTTCGCCGGCCGGTTCATCAAGTCGATGCACGGCCTCGGCACCCGCAACTTTTCTAGCCTCACCGTGTACGACAAGGTGTTTGTCGAGCACGTCACCGCCACCGTCTTCTCGTCGACCGAGAACGAGGCGCGCAACTACGCCCGCTTCCTGCACACGGTGCTCTCGGACCTCAGCCCCTGGCACAAGAGCGCGGACCGCTACCGCAAGGAGGTGGTGGGCAACCGGCTGCCGGGCTTCCAGATGCGCTGGGAGGACCGGCACGGCGGCGAAGAGATCCCGAGCGCCGCCATGATGAGCTGGGAGCAGTTCCGCCAGATCTACTGCAAGTGGCAGGACATGCTCCAGGCGGCCTTCCGCGCTTGCCTCACCTCGAAGGAGTACATGCGGATCCGCAACGCCATCGTCGTCATGACGCAGATCTCGCCCTTCTACCCGCTCCTCGACTCGCAGGGCAATGAGATGCTCGCCATCGTCGAGAAGCTCGGCGCCCCGGAGCAACGGGTCGACCTCAAGACGCTGGCGCTCGGCCTCCTCGCCACACTTCGTGGGCGTAAGAAGGACTGGTTGCCCGTCCACAAGGCTCGCAAGGTGCAGAACCCGCCGACGAGCCAGCCCGCAGCATCTGGCAAGCCTCAGCCTCAGTCCCAGCCCACGGCGACGGCAAGTGGGCCACCTTCTGCATCCACGGCCAAAAAGGAGCCGACCCCTGCCTCGGCATCTCGGGATGGGACGGCACCCGCACCAGCAGCGCCACCGTCGTCTGAACGTGGAAGTTCCAGATCTGCACCCGAGTCCAACCTCGCCCTACCGACCAAGCCTGGGCTCCAGAGAAGTCCTCTCAGTCAAGAAGTCGTCAACGGCAGGAACGGACAGCCTGCGACGGCGACAACCAGGCAGGACCAGAAGCCGGCTCCGGGGGCAGGTGGACGCAGCGCTGCCGACGACCGAAGGACGACGGCCACGGCCGACAAGTCGACGCCGTCAGCTCCGGCAAGAGCGTCCAATGGCGACCGCGATCGCGGTCGCGACTCGGGCACATCGACGCCGGTGCGCCAGGCACCTGCAATGCGCGACGCCATCGAGAGCTCGCGCGGAGGAGGTCGCAGCTCGCCCCTACCGGCGCAAGAGCGGCGCAATGGCGCTCCCGCCGCCGCCGCCGCCACCGCCGATGCAGCCGGAACAGGCGCCGACCGTGGTGCCGTCGCGCCGACGAGTGGTGACGTCCGCAGCAACGACGGATCCACTCGCGAAATCCGGGGCGCCGCCTCAGCGGCACGGCAGGCTGCGCTCGACAGCATGAACCCACCAAGGAGTCCTGCCTCGACGCCAAGCGCCCAGGCAGCGCGCGACCGTGGCGCGGCCGCCGCTGCCGCTGGAGGTCGAGAAACCACTCGAGGGCGTGAACCGGTCGGTGTCTCAGACGATCGACGCACCACATCCGCTCGCTCGCTCGATGGCGCCGCCACCAACGGCAATCGCTCGACGCAGCCGTCTCCCCGACACTCGGCCGCGCCCTCGAGGAACGTGTCGCCGAGCGCTGGTGCTGGCGCCGCACGTCTAGGCTCCAGCCGTGCCGGCAGCGTCGAGTCCACTCACTCGCATCCCCGCTCAGCCACTGGCTCAGCGCGCGAACGGGAACGTGGTGATCGCGACTATCGAGACCGCGACAGAGACAGGGAACGCGGCGATGCCACTGCCTCTGTCGCCTCTACTGCTGCCGCTGCTGTCACAGAGAGTCGCAGAGAGCGTGACCGCGAGCGCGACAAGGAGCGCGACAGGGAACGCGACCGCGACCGCGGCGATCGTCGGGATCGAGACCGGGAGCGAGACAAGTCGGACCACCGCCCTCGTGACCGGGAGCGCGAGCGCGAGCGGGACCGGGACAAGGATCGAGAGCGAGAGCACGGCCGCGAGACTCGCGATCGAGAACGAGAGAGGTCCGGCGTAGGAGGTGGCAGCGGGCCCGGCAGCAGTAGCGGCAAGGCCGGCCGAGATCGCGACGATCGCGGCGAGAAGCGCGACCGCACCGAGCGTCGCCGTGGCGCCGAGACCGCTTTCACTTCTACCGGCGATCGTGATCGCGACCGTGACCGCGACCGCGAGCGGGAGAGGGACCGCGCTGATGGCCGACGGGGCGGGGGATCCGGCGCCGCTGCTCCAGAAGAGGCAGCCGTTGCCCCTGCTCCTCCCGTCGCGCCTTCGACACCTCTTGGGCCACGCGACCGCGGCGGACGCGGGCGTGGCGGTGATGCAGCCGAGGCTGGCGGCAAGCGCAAGCGTGGCGGGGACCGGGACGAGGGACCCGACCGGCGCGATCCGCCCGCTGCTTCTGGGGCACCGCAAGCTGGTGCCGGTACTCCGCCGGAACGT